CGGAAGTTGGCGGAGGGCCATTATTTTTGTCTTTTTTCAAGACATCCTCCTGAGTAGCTGCTACTTTACAGGGTAGTAGTGCAGGCAACACAGTTTTTTAACAAAATAATGTTGCTGTTCTTTTGCTTTTTTTCTGGCAATGTTTTCAGAAATGTACATTTCTTTTCTTTTTGCAGACCAAGCGATTCACAATTTCCCAATGTTCGATAATTTTTGAGCTTGGCAAAGAGAGTATTTCCTTTTTATATCCAGCTATATAATCATTTCTATCTGTACACTACAGATGTATTTTAGTTGAATGGGCCTCATGCGTAAGCATACACATTATATATATATATATATATATATATATATATATATATATATATATATATATATATATATATATGGATGAACAGTTCAAAGTATCTTAAAGCCATTTTCTCTTCAATAAGGATTATTCAAGATGGGAGATAATTTAAAGATTTAAACTACACCATTGAACTTCCTGATGTTTATAGAATGCAGGAGAATCTGTTTTGAATGCATCAGGAATTTCCTGGACATTTTGTTTTTATTCAGACCTAAAATGGAAAGCTATAAAAAAATGATGTAAACTGCAACACGATGATTTTGCATAAATCATTTGCTCTATGCACTTTCAGGATCAAAGCTGTGCCTATATGTCTGTGCTTTCTTTGTGGGGGGTGTCTGAGAACAGCATGAGTGAAAGAGTTTTTTGTGTCTCTAATTAAAACGGCCCAGCATCCAGAGAGTTAGCGATTGTTGGAGAGAAAAAAGAGAAGTTTAGGGTTTAATGTTATTGTAGCTGCAGTAGAAATAGAGATGATCATGTTTGAAACTACTGTATGGGTGTGGGTTGCAGGATGGGGTTTGGCACAATGTGGTGTGTGTCTGTTTCATACGAAATTAGGTTATTTCCTTATTTATTTCTGTTTCAAGTGAACTTATACGTTAATCGGTTGTGTTTATGTCTGTTTACTGTACAGTGTGTTTACAGCGTGTTTCCATTTGGAGTCTGCAGTATCCTAAATATGTGGTCTGCTTCAGGTTTGTGGTCTTTACTGATTAAAATGATCCGGCTAACAAAAAAACTCAGTAACATCCATGGTCGTTCAGTTTTAAATCTTTTTCGGCTTTCTGAAATGACTGGCCTGCCAGACTTCCGTGTGTCTCCTTTCGTTTTTTTTTATAAATGTAACAGCTTGACTCATTCCGTTTGTCTTGGCGACGTCATCACACATTGTGGGTAATTTGGTCAGCATAAAGTAGGCTGACCACATGAGCGGCTTTATAATATCTTCATTGCATTTTTTGTATTGGTTGGAAACCTGGAAATATTTGTGCTTATGATGGCAAACTGCTCTGCGATATAAAACTGCAGACACCTGCTGCCGACCTCAGATTATTTGCACAGGTGTGTTTTCGCTCAGTTATGTTTTTTTTAATGATTCCACAGCGGGAAGTGTTTGGATAAGAGAATTTTTTTTTTTTGTCTTTTTCCTTTCTGAAATTGACCTGAAGTATTGCAGTTGAACCCTGCAACATCAGGGTGTCCTTTTTTCACAATCTGTACAACACTCAATAAATATTTTTTTGAATTCAGAAGCGTGTTTGATCATTCAACTGACCCAAACTACCACTTTTATGGAGGAAAATTTAGGGAGAGCTTTATGACCACATCAATGATTCAGTTATCTGCCTGCAATAACATGAAGGTGGTATGAATTTCAGACCAAAAAGTAATTAACCAACCATCAACCTTCGGTGTGGTAGAATCATGGTGTGGGCTACTAAGTCTATACCAGAAAACCAAAAGAATTAGTTAAACCTAAAAAACATAAATCATCAAATTGAGGTGTAGCTTGATAAAGGAATAGTGATAGTGATTTTTTTATTTAATTTACTTTGATCTGGTTGGATTAAATATCTAAAACTAGAATAGAATAACTCAGATACACTGCTAAGTACTAAATAAACATGGCATCATGCATAGGTAAACTTCAGACTGAAATATATCTGTAGACACACTTATATTTTTGTTGCTGTAATGCATATTAGTCGGATCTGTTGATCCATCCTTACTGACTTCTAAGTTAGTTTAGTGGAGCTTTTACATCAAACCTTTGTTGGTGGACAACAGTGGATCCCAGTTTAACATGTGCTCCTTTTTTTTTTTTAAGTTATGCACATCATTAAGCCTTCTGTTCAGCAGTTATTAGATTACTTCAGTTCTGCTGAGACTTAAAATTGGATTCCTATAGTCAATACTGTTAAGCTGAGTTCAGTTTCAGGATATGTACACAGAAAAAACTTGCTGTAAGTAACAAAAATTGCAGAACAATGCTGACTAGCACCAGTTGCAGAGGGAAGGTTCACCGCAAATGGGGATAATAAAGTTCACGGAAGCTCTGTTCAAGTATTATTTGAATAATAACCCACATTCATATACTTCTGTTTACTTTGTTTACAATGGGTAAAATGTAAGGTGTTACAGGTGTAAACAAGCACTTTACTTTTTGTCATTCTGTGTATTACTGAGTTTTCAAAAGTATTAATATTCCTAAATAGAGCCACAAACTCAGCAAGAAAACATGGAGAGCATCTTCAAACATCACTCTTCAAGTCTTACCACAGATGATACATTTTTATTCTGGTCTGGACTTGGACTAGGCCATTCTAACACATACATGTGTTCTCATCAACCAGTTTTAGTCTGTGAGGGAGGTAAACTTGTCTGGTTTTAACAATAAACTTAAAACTTTTCTCTTTGACAAAGCATATAGTTAAAGTGGCTCAGGTTAACCAGAGCTATCGCTTTAGTTATGCTGCTATAGACCTAGACTGCTGGAGGACATAGGGACCACATTACTTCAACCTTCTTTATTCTTTTTATGTTGTGCCATTCCGCAGTGCTTGTTAGTTCCGCTTATAACTTTATAATCTCTCTGCTTTTTCTGATCTGGCCCTGTTCAGCTGTGACATCATCCAGGAGAAAAATATCAGTTTTGTTTGTTGTTCTAATTTTACACACTAAGTGCATATCCCTCCCTTTAAATTATGGATTTCATGCAAAGGTATCAAAGTAAGGCAGCTGACTCCCTATTCATCATTTTTTATTTATTTAAAATCTTTATTTTCCTGCTTTCACACTGTAGCTGCAATGTGATAACGTGAAAAAGCGGCTCTTTAACAGCTCTAAGCCTTGCATATTTCTCATGTAGTTTCCTTTCTACTTAAAATGGTGAACTTCAAACAGCCCGTGTGTAGGACTGAAGCAGTACTTAGCAACCTAAAATTTGGTTATCACTGCCTCTGAGGCACGTAGTCATCTGAGGAGAAGAGTGTAACGTCGGGACACGTGTTTTGATTTTTCTGAAAGCATGCAGCTCTCTTGGCCTCTTTTATTGCGACGTAAACCCCTGGATGGAGACAAGAGAGGAGGACGGTGTGGCCAGTTAGGAAAACATGTGGTGAGCATTAGCTTCGTTTTTTTTTCTCAATGATAAAAATATGCAATGAGATATGTTCTTAAGATGTGACAGTTGCTGTTCCTTATATGTAAGTCAAATAAAAATAGTCACCGTGTTTTTTTCCCCTCTCCAAGACATTTGGGTAATGCTTTGACTTGTATCACCAAGGAGATTTTTTCCTTCATGGGTTACATTATTGAGAACACATTCCTCCCTACCCTTTTATCCTTTCATCAAGAAGGCCTTTTGCAGCAATCCAACCTTCATTTATCAGCTATGCAAGGGTTTGCATTTCACTCATTATAATTCAATCCCCAGTGCTAGCTGAATGAAACAAATACCACCATCAGGACATTTAATAGTCCACTGTCTTGCATCAAGAAAAGCACTTCTAATACGTGTTGAAATATCAGAGTGGCTTTATTGTAGCAATGTTTGAGATTTTTAGAATATCAGAGGGTTTGTGTAACATGTCAGAAACAGTCTGACTGCACTGTGAAAAAAATCAGAGTATTTCTGCATAACATACAGATTATGACATTAAGAGATAAACGCTGCTGCTGGATGAACATCAATGCAAGCTTTGGCAAAATAAAAAACAAAATCACAATAAACAGTATAGGGTAAGATTTGCACATAAGATGTTAGTTACACTTTAAAATCCACCAAGAATGTTTCCAATAAATTAGAGCTAAAACAAGCCCTGATGTCATGTAGGGATGTTTATCAGGCTTCTACATCAGCTTCTACACATACATAATGATTCTCTTGACCCAGATTATATGAATTATGCTGCTGTGAAAACATATAGCTTGTGACTGAAAATAACTGATATTCCTAGATGAATATTTTTATTCATTAAAGGAAATTCTATCAAAATGAACCTAGGCATTCAGCCACATTGAATGTTTTATTTTTTCTTGGTTTTGACTAGACCTGTTTGAAACCTTCATGGTTTTTTGAGTCAGAGGTAATATTTCTGCCTTGATGCATAATGTAGAAGTTTGAGCCTAAGGTCACAAATCTATGGTTCAGCATTCTCATGGAAAATGATTTCTTGGTTACATCAATTACAGGAAATCATTCAGGCAAAACAAACAAAAAAACTGTCCCAAGATGACCTCCATGTCAGACTCTCAGGATGATGGTCTTTCTTTGACATACTATGGTAGTTTTACACCAGATGTAATAGAATGCAGACTTTTCAGAGCTTTATACTTTTATCTCATAAGTTCACAAAATATTTATTTTATTTCTATTTTAGTTAGCTGTAGTTTTGGCCTTCTGACTTCCTAGTGCATGCCTTTTTTAATCCATAGTCATATTTACCTCTTTTGATGTCATTTTGTTGTTCTCACCACTATTCAATGCTTTCTCTATATGCAATTAATGGTTTGCAATAGACTAGACCCTTAGATTAAATCTATGCTTAACCTTTCAACACCAAGATGATTTACTTTTCTATTCTCCTCTTGGATTTCTTTAAATCAGGACATAGCCTGTTGTTTTTTAGCCTACAGTACTTCATTTAGCCTACATCATTTGAGAGACACGTCCTTATAAACAGCCGATATCTGAACTGTGACTTGCTGGTAAAATTCAACTTAGGTCTTATACATCTTTAGTCAATTAAAGTTGATTTATGATTTAGAAAAGGGGCAAAGAATGTGTTGAGCTATTTTCCCTTAGTATATTAAATCACCATTTGAAAACAGGATTTTTGTCTGACATTAGAAAATGATTAATGACCTGAAACATTTATTTGCACCAAATAAGCAACAAAAGAGGATATGTATATTTTTTTATGACAGTGTACAACAACCAGCCCTCATTTTTAGACCATATTAGAAAGATGTATTAAAGCATGTGTGACGGCTTACACATTTTCTTTTCCACCTTGGTGGCCTTTGTGCGCTCTTCCTTGTTCCTGCAAAGTTCTTTGAGCTGTGCTTCTCCTCCAGGTTCACCCTCAGAAATTATAAGGCGAAACTAGAATGTGGACTTTTGCAACGTGTTTGGCCTGAAAGCTGCGATCAGCGTATTCGGACATCTCCACATCGACACTGACCTCATGAGGCCCACGAAGCTGCTGTACCAGTATCAGCTCACCTGTCTGTCTGTCTGAGCGCTGCATGACGAAGATGCCTCGGGAGTTCCCCCCAGCTATACCGAAGCGCAGGCTGTCTGGTCCTGTGCGGCCGGGGGCGGCTGCGGTTGCCATGCGGAACAGCGTGGCAGGAGTCTGCAGGTTGGAGGGAAGGGACAGGTAGTGGAACGACAGGGTCTTAGGAGCCAGATGGCAGGAGCGGCTGTTCATGGGACAGGGGTTTCTCTCACACTGACTGCAGGATAAAAAGATACAAGTTCAATCAGACAGACTCCATTAGGTTACAACAAATGTGTGTGCAACTTTAAGGGAAATAAAAATACATAATGAAGATCCTCCAGTAAAAAAGGTAACACAGAACAAATCCAAGTTTAGAAACTGTTCAGACTTATCACTGTAGGCATGATGTAGTTTAAATGTGCTAAACATAAGAACACTTGGAAATTAAAGAATATTTCTAATTTATTTTTTATGCAAAATGTATATTAAAAGTTATTATAAAAATGTTCAATAGAAAGCAAACAAACTGATCAATAAACACATAACTCAGTAACACCAGTTCTGTCAGGAGGAATGAGCCAAATTTCAGTTAAACTTGTCAGAACCTTGAATAGGGATGTTAAAAAATACAATTTAAAAGGCAGCTCAGCTAATATACAAAATGTGCATAAACATCTGAAATGAAAGAAAGTGCTAAAAAAAAAACTGAGAAACAACCACAAAAAAACTTGGTACACATCTTTCTGTTTTTTAGGTAATATAACTTAGTTGGCTAAACTGAACTTAAAGAGGAAAATAAATTATCATCTTACATCAATAAGAAAAAAAAATCAGATGTGAATTTATATAAATGACCTTCACCGTATGTCCCACTGACCTTAGAAAAGTTTTAAAAGATTCACCATGGTCTTCTTTTCACTTCACAAAAACCAAACAAAGCCTGAGTCTTCTCGTCTAAATAACAGCTCATATAAAACCCAACCAGAATTTCCCTCCAAATATTTTATCTGGAAAACCCTGAGGAGGTCAAAATATGTTTTTTTTTTGCCACAGTTGTGGAAGTCATGTTTCAATGATTTTTTTTAGTACTTCTGGGCTGTGTCCACTTACAAAGGAGATGTCTTGACGTAGCTGATGTTGCCATGGGAACGGGGACACTCAGGGTTGACGCATCGAAAGCTTCCCCCAGTGTTGATGCAAGACGTACCTCTGCTACAGTTATGCTTCTGGCTTAAACACTCATCCACATCTGGAAGACAAACAGCAGTGGCAAAGGACTGACACCCTGGTTCATGGTGTGGATACTGGGGTGGGGTTGGTGTTCTGTGGCCTTTTAGGTTTTCTTTTTTTTTTAGTTTAGTTTCTGTTGAATGTGTTTTTGCAGGAAAAACGTGAGGTCATGTTTTCCAGCTGCAAAGCACCATTACCTTTAGGGGTGAAGTATGAAAGCAAAACTGGGGCATTAGAAGGACATCTCTGGTGAAAGAACAGATATCAGGCTGTATGGACATGCATACCGTGGCAGTTCTGCAGCCAAAGGCACGTGAATGAGCCTTTGTCCTCAGCTCCACCCTGTCACTCACCTTCACAGGTCCGCCCATCTGGAAGTAACTTGTAACCAACAGGACAGGAGCAGTGGTATGACCCAGGGATGTTCACACACTCATGGAAGCAGAGTTTCCCTCCTTGGTCCAACCGATACACTTCACATTCATTAACATCTGCAAAAAAAGAAAAAAATTACTGTTTACTTTAATCTTCCACAAATACTTTTGCACTGCCTCTTTTTTAGCTACTCCTGAAAAAAAATCCCTCTTCTTTCAGAACTCGTGAAGTAAAGACATAAACAACTAAACTCTGACCTAAATGTATGCTAATCAGCTCGGGATATTCAAGAGGATTATATGGTTTAGTGCAGACCCGCTTCACACATTGCTCTCCCTGTTGCAGCCAGAAGAGAAAAAGTTTTTTTGGCCTTCAGTGATATTTTTCTGCTGTAAAGTCTGTTCAACATCTGTGATTTGCAGCGAACCCTGCAGTCACAGGGAGCTGCTCTGTGGCTGACCTTATATTCCAAGGAGGATAACCAGCCAAAGGAGAATTTCCCCACAGGGATTAATTAAGTTAACCAATCATTACAGCTCACCCTGGCAGATGCTGTTGTCAGACGTGCCACTCATGTGGAAGCCTGCATCACAGCTGCAGTGCTGGGCTTGGTTGATTTGGGCACAGCGAGGTCTCCGACTAAACGCCGGATCGTTCATCACACTCCATTCGGGCGGTGCTGCATCAAGCAGGTCACAGTTTAAAGAGCATTAGCAGACTGACATGCAGCTCCAAATAAACCAAGCAACACATATGGTTACTCACCAGTTTGGGTTTGGTGCTGGCAGTGGGAGCCGCTCCAGTTATGGGGGCAGGTGCATTTGTATTGGTTTACACCTTCCACACACGTACCTCCATTTTGGCAGGGGTTACTCACACACTCACTTATATCTGCAGATATGAAAAATAAACAAATATCCTCTCATTTTTTTGAAGTGACAACATAAATGTCCGGAGTAACATATAAACCTTTTAGATAAGGGGCTGGAATTCCAGACCGGAAAGCGTTTGATTCCACTACTGACATTCAACAATTATTAAGTCATTTTCATTGATGGAAGGTCCTTGTGCCAACATGCAACATTTAAGGCATTTTAAAACATATGAAGTATTTTATTATGCCTGGTTCTGTAGTAAAAAAAAAATATCTTCTTGATTACAATTTCAGATGTACATCGTCTTGTAAAAGTATTTATTATCCTGGAGCACACGCTTCAATATATTTCATTGAGACTTTATGGAATAGTCCGACACAAAGCAGTGCATAGTTAGGTGGAAAATATATTCTGTATAGGTTTAGGAATTACCAGTTAAAAAATAACCATCTGAAAATGTGGTGCATATGTATTACTCATTGCATTATGAAATACAGTGCAACAATCTGCTCAGAAGTTCACCAACACAAGCTCACCTGTGTGCAGAGGTGGGTAGAGTACCTAAAATTTTTCCTCAATTAAGAGTAGCACTACTTAAACATGTTTTTATACTCAAGAAAAAGTAGAACGTTGTCATCCAAAGAAATAATCAAGCAAGAATAAAAACTTACTTGGTATAATGGCTTAATATCTTGTAATTGCTGGAAAATTGTATTTATTGTATTAAATTATGTCATCTTTGAAATAAATAACTGAATAGTTTAGTCTATTTGGAAATTCTGAATATAATTTTTTGGTACACAAAAGATTGTTTGGTTATTAAAACATGTTTAAAAGTGTTATTCAGTTAAAATAGAAAATGATAGATAGATAGATAGATAGATAGATAGATAGATAGATAGATAGATAGATAGATAGATAGATAGATAGATAGATAGATAGATTATAGGTTAGTAGATAGATAGGTTATCCTGTGCTGTTTTCTGTATTTGTGCTGCTATTTATGTGGGCTGCTGGATGACATAGGGACTACTTTTTCAAATTCTGATTCATTCTATTTATATTCTCAAATTATGCAGTATTTTCCAAGTTCCAGTTATAACTTTGTTCTGTCTGCTTTTTCTCAAAGTAGCTTAATGTGGCCTCTTCCTGTTTGGCTGTGACACCATCCTGGATGAAAATATCAGCTATTCTGCTGCCATGAACATCTCTGTTTATGGATATTGGAGCTTGGCCTGTTTCCAGTGTAGTCCTGTTTCTTTTACTGTAACTAGCAGAATTGGCTTGGAGCTCATCTGCCTGGCTGTGTGTTTCCTGGACGAGATGTATGTCTGCTTCTTTTTCTTTTTCTGTTTCTATCTCATTGAAGCCCAGTCAACTTCCGCAGATGTCCGCTCACACTGAGCCTGGTTCTGCTGGAGGTTTCTTTCTGTTAAAGGGGAGTTTTCCTCTCCACTGTGGTTACATGCATCCTCGGTGTGAGGGATTGCTGAGGATTCAATGGCAAAAGGCAATCAAAGTTTGTCCCCAACAGGCTCATCCAGGAGGAGCATGTTTGCAAATCAATGACTGGATGCAATCAGCTGGTTTTCCTTACCAATTTGTCTGTATTATCTCTTTAAGGTCCCTTGAGATAACATGTATTGTGAATTGGTGCCATTTAAATAAACTGAATTGATTTGAACAAAATAGTTTGATATTTATTTAACACCAGTGTGAATTATCAAAAGTTAATATTAAACACTAGTTCTGATTTTATTGAGCCCTAATGTGTTGTGTTATCGTTTTACAATTTACACCGGTGTTAGTCATTCACCCACACATTTACATACTAAGGTAAATTGTAGCCGCAGCTATCTTGGAGCATACTGACAGAAGCAAGGCCGGTGGAAACTGGTGTTCCATGGCCCTCTGATCACCATTAGAAGCCGATGGTGGTGAAGTGTCTTACTCAAAGACAATAAAATAAAGAAAAAGTTCTCACGCAAAATGACAAGACTGTTGATTTTACAACACTGATTGAGGCAGACAGAGCTGGGATTCTCTGGCCCAGCCCTGTCACTTTACTCATTAGCTCACCATTTTACTGCATAAAGCCAATGACATCACTCAATAAAACTTGTTTTTTGCCGCTGTCTCACTCTAAGAGTTGTTCTGTTCTTCAAGCAAACACATTACATAGGTCATTCTAGAAGAAACTCTATAAATGCTCTTTATGCACTGAGATGATTTATTTAACTCCCCAGGTTAATAGCAACTCTTTGGAGAAATTAACTCCCGCGTAGTTGAATTAGACTAAACAAGAGTAAGGAATTAACCCTGTACTTTCAACTTACAACACCAACACATAATCTAACATTTTGCTTTGTAAAAAAATCCAGTTGTGAATTGGTGACAAAAAGGCCATTAATGTGACCGAGATCGAGTTGTTTTGCAAAGATGAATAGATAGAACCTTTTTTTTCCGGCGTTGCAATGCTTTGATGGTGTCAGGGGCATAAATAACTTTGTATGAACAATTTTTGTTTTACTTTTTGAAATAAAATAAAGACATCGGTATAGACTCAGTAATTTTCATTCAGCAAACATATTTAGTGATGATTGCCTCAAAAAAACATCTATTATTTTTATTAGTGCAAATTTAAGCTTTATTTTGCCAGGGTAAGTTTTGGTTTTTATAAAAATCTTACAAAATGCAACACAAAAGCACTCCAATACATATTGCAAGGACTCCACTCTGCAATGAGCTCAATGTAAATAGACTCAAATTCACCCCTAAATAAAAAAAATGTAGAAATTACAAGCAGCTGCTACCCTCTCAACTGTAAACCAAATGACAAGCAGTCCCTTTAATATTTATTTGGCTTCTCTGGTGGTTACCACTGGACCATGTCATGAAAAGACATGCTGCACTCTATGCGATATTTTTAAACTTCTTTTAGTATTTAGGGGATTCTGGCTCTGTAAATGATTTTTTGAGAAATAAGTAAACATGTAGCTTTTCTGCTGAGTAGAAAAACATGAACTGGAATCCTATGCTTTGCAGAATCAAGCCCCATCATGTTATTTCAACGAGGAAAGTCAATAAATCTATGTTCATGTTCAACTGAGTGTGATACTTGAAATATTTTAGAGAAACCTGCGATCAGTTCAGGCAGAAATTACTATCAGTAGCATGCCTGGCATACTTCTGAGCTATCAGACCCTACTCTGGTTATGATGGTTGGCCCTAACCCCATCTTAGGATGTCTGACAAAGAATTGCAGAAACATGAGCAGCAGGGAGGGGTGCTGATGCCTGGTGGCTTATCTTACAGTAGCCCCGGCTCTGTTGGTAATAAAGAAAGAAACCAACAGGGGAAAGCACCCCTCAGTGGAATGTAGTGCAGGTGTTATTCTGTGTTCACAGACATTCAATCCCAATTTAACAAGTCATTCATTCAAAACACCAAAGAATCCCAGTCCCTCTGAAGAAAGACTTTTTATTTCTCCTTTATCTGTGCACAGCTGTTTGGTTTTCTGAGTTGAAGTTTCTCTCAGTAACCTAAAAATTAATTACTTCATACCTCCTAATAGTTTTAGTGATATATTAGGACAAGAAGGAGATAAAAAGGTACTTTTAGAATAAATGGCAGATCACAACATGTTACAGTATTCTTCAACTGTACCTCACCTTTACAAATTGCACTGACACCAGACCAGGTGCCATTGTCTCGACAAACCCGGGTAGAAGAACCGATAAGCTGGAACCCCTGTGAGCAAGTGAAATGGACTTCATGCCCAACAAAATGCTTTGAGCCGAATTTTGTTCCATGAGCAGGGGCTTCTAAGGAGGGGCAGGTGGTCGGAGCTGCGGGAGAAAGAAAGAGCATGAGAGGAAGTAGGGTCACATGTGCAGTAAGCCTCCCAACATCCTCTGGCATTCCTGGCCTGGGGATATACACGTGTCACTGGGCAGCATAGATCGTTCATGGAAAACAAATGTAAGAATGCCTCATTTACAGTCAACCAGTGCAGTACCCACCACTGTTATGGGTCAGTGAAGTCCCACAAGTCAAAATTTATTTCAGCTATTATGCTTGAAAGTTGAATAATCAAATTATATAACACTGTTATTGGAAAAGATTTTTTGGCTTTAATGAGACTCCTGTTCTTCCTCAAAGCTAACCTCCTGCAGTTAGATGTTTGTTTTTCTGCTTTCGTGATTTAAACAAAAAACATTTAGAGAGTTAACCTTTCACAAAATGTTAGTAATTTCCAATCCTTTTTTAAGTAAACAACAGGACACGTCTGTCTAACTAAACATTTTCTGAACATGTTTTACAGTTCAGAATAAAAGAACAAAAGAATAAATAAAAACACCAACATATTTTAAGAGAATTAGTAATCCTTCGAAAATCAAGATTCCCTTCGATTATAAAACAACCAGTAGCCATAAAAAAAATATCTATTGAGAGATTAATTTATAAACTCTTGATGGTGCTTTTGCCTTTCAAACTGATCGAGGATCCTGCACAGAATTTTACCTTTTCCAAGGACTGTGGCTTTCTGGACGGAGATCTCGGATGTTGTGCCTTCCACATCCTCTCTAGGTCTTCTAGGTCTTCTCTCAGCCCTGATTATTACCTGAGGTTTCCCTGTTCCTTCTTTCTGATGTCACTTGGTATTGCAAAATTGATCACCACCACCTTCTTCCTCTGCTTGAGCACCACCACTAGTTCCAGACCTTATTCAGCACAGTTGTTCCTGTACTGTTTTCATCCATGACAGTGGTTTTGACACCTATACCACCAACAGATAGCTGAATTGGCTGATATAATCAAATCCTTCCAATGGGTATAGTGCAGGGGTGTCAAACTGGTTCCATAAAGGGCCGTGTGGCTACATGTTTTATTTCCAGCCAAGCAATAGCACATCAGACTTCATTCATCTCATCAAGTCATCATGTTCAGATTGGAATCCCTTAATGAGACGACTGGAGTCTGGTGTGCTATTGCTTGGTTGGAAAGAAAACCTGCAGCCACACGGCCCTTTTTGGAACCAGTTTGACACCCCTGGTATAGTGGGTCGGACTGAAGGACAGCAGAGAAGCACTGATCATTGCCTCACAGGAACAGGCCTTGAGAAGCAGAGAAAAAGGAACCCAGGTCTCAGGTGCAGGCTATGCAGAGAGGCCTTTGAAATAACACTACATCTTACAGCAGGGTGTAAGATGCTAGCAGGAAGGGAATACATGTAATGCTTTAGCCAAATGGCTGGTGTATTGTACTGAAACATCTATCCAGAATACAACATGGAGCCTTGGATCAAAATGGGAGCAACCTTCCAAGGGGGTTGAGAATAACTGAGCTAAGATCCTGTGAGTTCTAGATACAAACAGACAAAATGCTAGTAGCCAACCCAACCAGATCATTGATAAGCAGCCATAGGGGTCAATGTGGCCATGTCTAAGGATGTGAACATCAGGAAAAAAGAAATGGGATGAACACCAAAGCCTCAGGCAAGAACTAGAAAGAACCTGGAGAAGATTAGTCTACAAACTTAAACTGCTAATGTTTAGATAGCAGAGTAGAAGGCAACTCTTTACAAATGATTTTAAGCAGCTTAGGGTTTCAGCAGTTTACATTTTTCTATGAGTTTGTTCCAGGTTAGTGGATCATAAGAAGTGAAAGTTGCTTCTCTACATTTTTTTCTAGTTCTGGGTATGAAGAGAAGACTTAAACCAGAAGACCTGCAAAGTCGGAGTGGTGATACACTGAGAGCAAGTCTGTAATTTATTTTGGTGCTTAGCCAGGATGACCTGGTTTCTTGGGGTTTAAATATGGCATAAAACAGAATCACATATACACTCTTTCAGACAGGGCAAAAGGATAGAAAGTGCTATTTTTAAGATAAGTTAGATGTATTTTGATCTTTGCATTTCAGAAATAGAAGAAAATAAATAGGCAATACACATAAATGCACCCATATATGACAACAGCAATGATTAATTTAAAATATCTTTGACTTTGAAAACTTAACCTGAAGGAGGGAGGTGCTATATTTGTCCACACCCTCATTAAGGAAGATGGAAAGATTTTTTTTTTAGAAATAAGGAATAAAAGCAAGAGGCTTTTCTGTCTTATCATCATAAAATAAAACATATGGAGTAACTAATTCACTGGCAAATTTAATGGGGCTGTGCACTTTAGTGAGGAGACATATTCTATTTACAAACATTCTAGACGGTTAATACGTGAAAAAGCACATTGTGTTCACTAGGCTACTTTATTTTCCAAAGGTTTGTAGAGCCTTGTGACCATGCATAAGACTTTGAGATACAGAAAAGAACCTGAAGCTGTCACTGATTCTTCCAACAGCAAAGAGATCAAAATCATATTAAGAAAGGTCCATAGAAATGGTTTACGAGGCACAAACCAATCTTCTTTGATGGGCACCTAAGACCTAAATCTTAAAGAAGATGGGTAAGGTCAGCTTAGAATAGTTCACAAGGCTCTGCAAGACTGGCAACCAGTCCAGGGTGTATCCTGCCATTTGCCCACATCACATCCCGACTCTGATGGACAAGCAGTACAAGATGGATGGATAATTGACAATGGAAGTCTCTGAATTTTGCAGCATCTAAAGAGATTTTTTTATGGTCAAAAGTTAAAGACCTTTCTATCTTTCTCCCCGGGTGCTCCAATCTTTTGAAATGTTGTGGGAGAATATAAAGTTCATCTTTTTTCAAAACAAATTTATAAAGTATAAAGAATAGGGATACTCATTATGGTCCCTAAAACGCAATAATGCTGAATGGGTTTATACTTCCATTAACGATCTTCACCAGAGCAGCTAAGAAGTATAATTGCCTTCCTCAATATTACAAAGATCTTCAGCTATTGTCATGCTAAATCAGAAAAAAAAACATTACATTAATTATCCTTAAGCAGTATATGTGAAACAACTATCATCTATCCAATTCTGATATTTCGATTGTTTAGGTCCCCCTACATCTCAGTGTATTCACTGGAAAAATGAAGCTGGCTTATAAATGTGTAAGTGTAAAAAGTATATGATTTTTAGCCTATTTGTGTGTCTTTCCATCTCTTCATTTGTCTGAGGTTTTATTGCTCTGTATAAAATATCAGCCTCCTCCTCCTGTCCTCTGCAGCCCTCCTCAGAGAGTTATGAGCTGGATGGTCCATCATGAACAAATTTGTCCCAGAGTCCGCTGCCAAGCAACACAATTCCACAAATCCACTTCCCCTGTCAAGTACCAAGCTCTGTAACTGAGAAAGCCTTGAACTGCTGAATGACTCCATTATCCAATAACCCAGGAAGCTTCATCTGGCTTTCTGTTGTCACTCACTGAGTAAGAATCCCGTTTGAAGATCAACTTTGACAAGGGAGTTGCTCCAAAAGTATCGTAAACCTGATATTATGGAATATTTGGTTTTCTTCCACTTGACTGTCCTTCAGTGGAAACCTCCAACATAGACTGGATGCATTAACTTGTAAAAGTATCCATAGCCATAACACTTTTCATTTTTAGAGAAGGTATAACCCCAAACACAGATTTAGGATTTGTAAAGATGTGTGAAGTGGGATGAGCATTTGTATAAAGCCCGCTGCATTGATGCTTTGTGCAGCTTTTTGCCTCATTTACTTCCACAAACCTTTTGAAGTATGTCTCTACCAGCTGCCCACATTCTTTCAGTAAAAATGGCTCATTCCATTCAGATTGGACAAAAAAACTGGAAAAAAGAATGTTTTAAGTTATGCAGCAGAGTCTCAGTTGAGTCTAGATCCGGACTCCATTCTAACACAAATAGTATTCCATACAAACTGTTGCATTTTACTTCCAATAAGGGCCACCAAATTACATATGCAATCGATTTTTTAGTATGCGCAAATGTTAAGACATGCAATTGGTTTTGGTTTCGCCCATTAAAATGAGAATATTCAATTGATCCCGGAGGGTAGTCACCAACTGACCAATCAGCAATCTCGATTTGTCCTGAAGTGGCCCACTCTCGTAGTACCAGGACTTTGCATTAGGAGAGCATTATTTACTCACCCTGTTCAATAACAGTAAAAGGAGTAGAACACAACGTCCCTCACAGCCAACATGCCTGTGTCCATTATACTTCCTCCGGTTTGTGGAAAGTGTCTTGATTGATTTGTATTTTCCCATATGCAGAACGATCCTGCAGTTGCATCACGTCAGTTGAACAGTGTAAAACAAACACCGATCGTCACTATTTTTAATCAATTTTAATTTTTCTATTGAAAAAAAAATGTTTCAATCCTTCCCTGTCTGTTTATTAATAGCATCCACAGCATAACGCTGACAATATCATTTTTCATCATGATAATCAGTGTGTTTAGGCTTATGTACAGTGAAAATGTCTTCTTAAGGGTTCATTTTATAAGCAGCTCAGAATATCTTAAAATGCAAGACTGTAAGTGCAGTCATGTAAAATTAGACTAGTGGATGGCTGATATATAGTCAGTCATTTTCCTTCAGAGCTGTGGATCTCTGTAGCTCCTCCAAGTTACCATGAGCTTCCTGGCTCCTTTTCTAAATGATGTGACCCTGTCCATTTCAACAGTACCTAATGTTGGTTTATCAGATACAATTTTAATAGAGTGCATTAAAGTTTTTCGTTGTAAAATGTGAAAACCGTCAAGGGATATCATCAATTTTGAAAGTACAATATAAAACTTTCTTTAGCCTTTACTGCATAGTAAATGATAATTTGACCTGAAAGTCTTTGCTGTGAAAATCTTTGCAGAATGTTGGGATACTTATCTAGCATGTTGTTATAAATTCTATTACAAAAATCTATTAATAAAGAGATATCTAAGGTATATTGTATAACATTTCAAATTGGAAAGCATCTACTTTTCTAAAAGCAGAAAATTCAAGGTTTTAATTTTATTCCTTACCACAAATTATATCATATCGGTATAAATACTAATTCACTCTCCTGCAATGCCAAGACTTATTAGGACTTAACATATTGTAAAAATGTATATATTTTTTCTTAAAGTTATCTCCTACAGAGAAGATTCATGTCTAATTACTCACCAGCCGACTGATCAGCTTGAGGTAACTTGGACACAGAGTTCTGAAGTGATGCCAGTTTTGACTTCATTATCCGGAGACCCTCTGTAAACCGAATCTCCTGGCCTTTCAAGAACTTCTCCATCTGACGCAGCACCCCGACCACCTGGTGCTTATCCATGCAGGACTGCTGGTAAAACACGAGGGGCCATGAACCAAAGAGTAGTGTGGAGGAGTCTTGGCGTAAAAAAGAAGATCTCAGAATACAATGGATGCATAAAGGGAAATGGTTAATTTTGTCTAATGGGGTCAAACCACGAATGGTGAATTAATACATCATCCAGATGTTTTAACATTAAAACAGAGTTCTCATGGTTACAAACGGTTCCTTATAATTAAAACCATATTAATAGATATATTTTAAGACTCGCCTTGATCTGTTTTGATGTCAGACCCTGCAGCTTTCTCATAAACCATCTTGGTTTATTACTCCCCTCACCTCCTTTCACTTCCACTACCACAACCACAGTGGCAGGCACAGCTGGACAAAAGCTGTCTGGGAGATGTTAGAGGAAACTTAGTCCAAACTGCTGTTCCTCTGTATCTTTTGCATGACCGCAGGTGAAGGGGCAGGCTCACTGGATGATCCAGCTCAAAAATAGCATGGCTGTCACACTTCCTTTGAGGAAAAAGCTCTAGACCCAAACCATTACAAAATTCCTCAAAGAAAGTGCCTCTAATCCTTTTAGAAGGGTTGTTAATCACAAGCTCACTGGGACAATTTCCCTTTGCAGCATACCTTAAATTCCTCCTCTGGCATACGGAAAACTTTGTACAATTGCAATTAGTCTCAGTACATTAGAACTGCAGCTCGGTCTAGCCTGTGCTTATTTTACCTGCTCCAGGCAAAGGGATGTGCCACCAGCTGACAAGACATGGGAAGATTCATATCCAGAAGTAAATTTTGTTTGTTTACAAGCTAAAATATGAGGGTAATTTCCTTTTTAGAGTTACTTTTAGTGGAAAAATTACATAATTTTAAAGTTTTTCACAATTTTTTATTGCAAATTCCAATGTATTAAATTGTGATTATGTGATATAAGCTGTAGGGCAAAAATTGTAAAGCTGAAGCTAAAACTACACATGACAGTAAAAACGTTTTAGAAATCAAAACCTGAAGATTGTGATGTATATATGTATTCAGCCCCCCATTACTCTAGTATCCTTAAAAATGAACCAATCCAATCAAGAGCCATCAAGGAAGTCACCTTAAAAATTAAACAGAGCTAATCTGTGAGTGATTTAATTCATCTATCCAATTTCCACATTTGGAGGGGCAGCTGCTTGCATCCTACAACCTAGATAGCTAGGCATGCATAGTGTGTGCATGTAGGCTGGTCTCAGTATCAATAACGTTCAGTGAATGACGGGTTCAGTGATGCATCATGAAAAAACATCCAGATTTTTCTGGCACTTTATATGGCGAAGAGTTAACACTGCATATACACACACCATCCCAACAGTGAAACATGGCGGTGGTAGCATCATGCTTTGGGATGCTTTTTTACACTGGGTTCAGGGAAGTTGATTGAAGTAGATTTGGGGATGGATTGGGATAGATCGTGTATAGAGAAATCGTGGATGAAAGCCTTTCAGGGGATGGAAAAGATTTGATATTGGGCTGGGGGTTTTGTTTTTCAGCAGGACACAGACCCCAAACATGAAGCTGGAGGAACCATTTCTTCAAAGTATATGCATGTGTTAGAAGTAGTGGCTGTTAGTGAAGCAAAGGTGGCTTTACCAATGGTGGAATTAGTAAAACCATTAATTTTGTTTTTAACATTTTGCAAATAATCCAAGTTGGTCTAATAACATAAAAGGAATTTAAGAGTTTAGTTTAAATCTAACTAAATGTTTTAAAGAAGTATTTTACAAGTACAGTAATCTCTTTTTGTTTCTGGATATATTTATAAATATGATTTACTTCTATTCTTCAAAAGTGAATAAACTAAATTCCTCTTACCTGAAGAGCTGCATGACCGTAGTGAAGAGTTGTCAAACACAGCAAAATCAAACACCTGCTTCTAATAGACAAAGCCATTTCTGAAAAAACAAAACCTGCAGTTCCTGTCGATGTCCCTTTAAATAATTGTGCGACTTCCGTTTTTCATTATCCTAAACAAATTCGCATAAAGACAATGAGACGGTTCAAATATGAGACGATGCCCATCAGGTGTCCGAAACAGAGATGCGCTTTTTTTCCTCGTCTGTCCTCTTGGAAAGTTTATCCCAGCCTCTCTGAGCTCTGCAGGCTGCCCTTTTGTTGCTTCAGCTAGAATCCCTCCCACACAGAGACTTTATGCAGTTTCTCATTTCATTTCTCTCTAGCTGACAAGAAGAAAAAAAACAATCAAATTAAATACAGTTTCGGTTAATAGATATAATATCTCTTCAACGTGAAGTCCCAATGGAAGGAATAGGATAAAAACAATTCCCTACTTTTGCAGGCTGTTTAAATAGAGTAATATAATTCAATTGATTTTAATAACCAAATAATATTCAGTTAAACATGAAACTCTTGTAAGAATATCGGTCTGTTGAAACATTTCATAAGCAGTTCCAAATAAAAACAATTCATTTTTTTATTTAGAGGGTTTTGGCGACACCTGCTGTTATATTTCGGAATTGCAGGTATGGCGTTGGCGTAATCAGCACAGGAGGACGTTGCCACCTTTTTCAAATAAATTCAGTTTATTTCTATAGCGCCAATTCACAACCCATGTCATCTCAAGGCACTTTACAGTTCACCAGATCATACAGTCAAATTGATTCAAGGTTTCTATCTAAGGAAAACCAGTTGATTGCATTGATTCATTGACTGGGAGGCAACCCCTCACACTAAGCATGCTTGTAGCGATAGTGGAGAGGAAAAACTCCCTTTTAACAGGAAGAAATCTCCAGCAGAACCAGGCTCGGTGTGAGCGGTCATCTGCCAAGGCCGTCTGGTGTT